GAACTGAACCCCGGGACTCTCCGGTCCTCGGGCCAACACTCTAACTGCTGAGCCAAACCGGCCAGGGCACATAGTTACCTTTTTGTGTGTGGGGTGAAAACTCTTAAGATCTATACACTTAGCAAATTTCAGTATACAGTTCAGTATTAAATATAGTCACTATGCTGTACATTACATCCTCAGAACTTATTCATCTTATAATTAAAAGTTTATAACCTTTGACCAACATCTCCCCATTTCCCTCATCACTCAGCCCTTGGTAACGACCATTTTACTTTCTATATCTATTAGTTTTCATTTTTTATATTCTACAAGTAAGTAAGATCATATACTATTTGTCTTTCTCTCTCTGGCTTATTTCTTTTAACATAATATCCTCCAGGTTCACACATTTTTTTTGCAAATGGCAGGATTTCCTTCTTTTTTATGACTGACTAATATTCCATTATAAATATCTATATATCTATATCTATCACATTTTCTTTATCCTTTCACCTGTCAATGGACACTTAGCTTGTTTTATATCTTGGCTATTATAAACAATTCTGCTAACATTTATTAAGTACTTAATACAGCTACTGTGTTAGGCACTTCAGAATTATATATCTTATTTAACCTTCACAATGGACCTACAAAGATGGTGTTGTTATTATGCTCATTTAACAAGTGAAGAGACTTAAGTTTTGAGTTATGTAACTTGCCCAAGATTACCCAGCTAGCAAGAAACATTTGGTAACGTTTGAAGACAATTGTGATTGTCATGACTAGAAGGGTCACTATTGCCATCCAATTGGTAAAGACTAAGGATGCTGCTAAACATTTCACAATGTACAGGGCACCTCTCAACAAAGAATTATCAGGTTCTAAATGTCATTAGTGCAGAGGGTAAGAATCTAACCGAATTAGCACAGAGGCTGGGATGGGTAGCTGTTCAAGCCATATTATTTTTTCTTTTAAATATTTTTTCTTTATTGATCTTAGAGAGAGAGAAAGGGAGAGAGAAATAGAAACAGTGATGAAAGAGAACATCGACTGGCTGCCTCCTGCATGCTCCCACTGGGGATCAGGCCCACAACCTGGGCATGTGCCCTGACTGGGAATCGAACTGGCAACCTCTTGGTGCGTGGGTTGACGCTCAACCAGTGAGCCACACCGGCTGGGCATCAAGCCATATTTTTTTAATAGTACTACTGATTTTATTTTACAGATGAGAAACTCAAGGCTTACTTAGGAGGGTTAAGAAATATCATAAATTCATACTGCTAAGAAGTGGCAAAAGTAGGATTTTTACTGAGGTCTTCTAATTCCACATTCAATGCCTTTCTACCATGACTCCATGAAGAAGAAAAATGGTTAAGATTGATTCTATAGCTTCAAGTCATATTAAACAAGAGAAATTTTGCACGAGAGACCAAGGCAGTGATGTCAGAAAAGAGAAACTAGAAAGTTTGTGGGGGTGGTGGGGGGAGCTAAGAGTAGATTGTAATGATAACTTTAGTTCCTGACAGCAGCCGCAGGGGGTCTGGTGATGAGAACTGGAGTTCAGAGGGAAGTCAGAACTGGGAATGCACTGCTTTTGACAGGCAGGTGTTAGCCACAGTCATGGCCATGGGGGATCAGGATGTGAGGTAAGAAAAGATAAAGAAATAGTGACTGCATTCTACAAAAATGTTCATAAGAAAAGAAGTGAAATGATAAAAAAAAAAAAAAAAAAAAAAAGGGACCAGAAAGACAATGAAAAAAGTGGAATCTGGGAGGTGCTCATAGGATGTGATCTTATTTAAAAAGTCAGCAGAACCAGAGTTTGAGAAGATTATTCAGAAATCTGTTTTTTGGTGGGTAGGGAAAACTTTCACTATTTCCTGTTCTTTGTATAATCTGTATAATTGACAACACAAAATACATCTTTTTAATGCTTTTTAATTATCCTTAGAATCTTTATTAGTCACAAAAATAAACATTAGGTTTTATTTAGGTTCTATTTAGGCAAAATGTTTACATTTCTGTCCCCAACCCCCAACCTTCTGGTAGCTCCCAGTCTGACATGAACACCCCAAATATTATTTATTTGAAGCCAATGTTCTTATGTCTCTTTGCTGAGCCTACACATCCTTGTTTGACCAAATAACAGGAACAAACAATTTCTTCCATAATAGATGTACCCTAAGGTGTCATGCTTCTGAGCACTGCATTTGAAAATTGATTCCTCTGTACCATGGTGCAATGTGATTTCAGTTAACTTTCTTGTTATTTATTGGATAAAAGTGGTAGGGATTTAACCAAGTATGCTATACCTGCAGGCTAGTACAGGTAGTGCCCAGCTCTGAGTGGGGAGAGGAAGCAGAGGGGAGGAGGTTGGAGCACAACTGTAAATGATTGTGGACATACCAGAGCAGCTGACCACATCAGCAAAAGGTTATTTAATGAACAATGATGTACTGTAGTGCCATGTCTCTCAATTTTTTAAAAATGTAAAATGATTATTAATACTCATACTGGTTAAGATTTTTGTGTGCGTCTACTATGTGCAGGACACTGTACATTCTATGGATTATCCCAGCTTGACTTCCATAAGAACTGAATGATCTAGGTTTAATGATCAATTCCTTTACCTACCTTGGGACAGGTGAGGCTCTGACTAGGATTTAGAAAAGCTGGAATATGTGGCTCACCTTCTTACCAAAGTCCTCGCCTCTACGCATCGTTGTCTAATAGAACTTTCTGTGATGAAAGGAATTTTTATATGCTGTCCAGTATGGTAGATGCTAGCCACATGTTGGTATGGAGCACTGAAAATGTCGTTAACAGAATGGCACTGAAAAACAAACACAAAGAAAAATTGAATTTTAATTAAACTTTCGATGTAAATAGCCACATTTCATAGCCCTTTTGGATGTCACAAATAGTTATTCTAAAGATGACTACAAGCAGCATTAAAGAGCTGCAACATCGCCACCATTATAGAAAATCTATTGGATAGCACTGTTTAGGAGAAATTCTGCAGTTTTCTTTTCCTCCCTGGCGGATTTTAGGGCAAGCAGAAGGTCTTTCTCCTCCCCTTTCCAGCTTCTTCAACCTTCCGACTTCAGAGAAAGGAGGTTCCTTTTTTCTTTCCACCTTAGATTCCTCCACCCCCACACTGCTCACCCCTGTGGGATCAGCTTGTTCAACAGCCTTGAGGGGAAACTCCAAAGAGTAGTTGGAAGTGACCTTTCTCTATCAGGCACGGCCTATCAGCATTAGCCTCCTCTTCCTCATCAACAACCCACGATTACTCAACTCTCAAAAGATGACAATCATTCTGCCAGAGACAGAAGCACACAAACTAAATCTGAAAACTCTAGGAATAAAAAACAGACACAAAACCCAAACACACAGCATTTAATAAAATAAACTATTTGCTTTGGGCTTTGCTAGAGCCCCTATAAGAGCTGACTTGGAAGGAAGGCTGTGAGATTTCTTTCTATTTTCCAAAACGTTTTAAACGAACTGGCTGTCCTACATTATTTAAATGGAGAATGGGGCTTATTTGCCACCAAAAACAATGTTTAACTAAGAGAAGTGTTTTTCTGAACCGCAAAAGTATTCAAGCCTTTAACCTAAAGACCTTCACAGGTGAGAACTCAGGGCACAACCCTGCCTCTACATTTATAAGTCCATTTTCAATACCAATGAATTCTTTTACAAGCTGAATGTGCCAATTCTTTTGTGTGTTTTAGATATAGATTCACTAGAAATTATTCCTTAGATGTAACCCAGAGGTTTTTTGCAAGTGCAAAATAGGATTTAAATCCAGATTTATAGAGCAGGAAACTGAGAAGAGGCAAAAAGACAAAATAGCCACAGGATATGATGAGGAAGGGCTGTACTAGTCTCTCTCTATATATATTTTAAATACCCTAAGGTATCGTGTGGCCACTGCACAGTACCTTTCTACTCCCCTTGTCGAATTTTCCAGTAAGTCTGACTCATTTTGATACTTTGATGGACAACCAACTAAATCGACTAGGGATTCTTGTTAAAATACAAATATGATTGAGAGGTTCTGAGACTGGGTCCGAGATTTTGCATTTCTAGCAAGCTCCCTCCCAGACGATGGCAATGTTGTTGAATAGCAAGGATGTAGAAATTTACAGGAAGCTGAGCCTGGAACCTGCCTTCCTTGGGGTACCAGTTGGCAGACTCAGGCAACTCCCTGTTCAGGTCAGTGAGACTGCCGACTTAAAAGCAACGTTTGGATAGCTGGACCAACCTTAGCGCAAACAGTCAAGTTGACTGGGGGCGCGTTAAGTACCGCTCCCTGCATCTCATTCATTGTGTTCTCTCAGCAACCACACGAGGTGTACACTATTATTCTCCTTTTACAGGGGAAGACACTGAGACTCGGAGATTTAAGAAACTTGTCCAAGATCACGAGCTTTTCAGAAGAACCGAATCCAGGTCCATCTAACTCCAAGAGACAATGCCTTTAACTAACACTTCGGGGCTTCAGTTTTCTGTGCTGTGAAATGGGAAGGGCCGGCCGACAGAGTCCAGACCTGCATGCTTCTAAGGGAATCCTTGAATCATTTCTCGAGATCTTGCTTTTTGACTCTGCAGGAAAAAGTTCTTTCTGAGAACACCAGGCAACCCCCGCTTGCCTACGTCGGAGGCACGGATGGCTGTTCCTGGGGAGGGCCGAACAGTCCTGAAAGGAACTGGCTCGGAACTCCGCGGGCCCAATCGTTACATAACCTCGAGGCGTCCCTCCTCTAGGGCCCCTCACCCCTCGCCACGCCGCAGCACCGAGAGCGGATCCGAGGGACAAATCCCATTTGCCCTCTCGGCAGAAAGTCCGCGGCGGAACGGGGGGTCTGAGGACTGGGATTTCCCCACCGCGCGCTCTTCCCACGGCCTCAGCCCCTCAGGTGCCTCCGCCCCTTGTGCTCCCCGCCCCTCAGTGGCGCCCGGGGCCAGGGAAGGGGCCACCGCCCAAGGACACGGAGCGGTGGGTGCGTCCTGGAGGTATGTCTGCGCGCCACCGCCGGGGCTGCAGCGGTCCACGCGAGGTGAGGACGCAGCGTGGCCGGGCCAAAGGCCGGGGATTGCGCGGGAGGGGGTGAGAGGTGTGCGCGCTCTGGAAGAGCTGTGGGGCGCTGCTGCTGGCCCACGGGGTGCCCCGGACGCAGTCTCTTGCCGGCGACTTTGGCACCCGGACCGGACTCCCAGCGCGTGGGCCTGCGAGCTGCCTTGTTTTACCCTCTTCCCACTACCCTGCTCGGCCACCCGGCTCAAGTGACCCGGACATCCTTCGCGGCAGGGCGGTGGGGCTCCAGGGCGGGCTTGGTGGAGCTGGTGGAGGGCGCTCCGTTCGCTCCCCTCTGCCCCAGCGCCCAGCAACGCGCCAGGAGCCCGCCACGCCAGCCGGGGTTCCTCGGAGCGCCAGCCGGGGCCGGGAGACAGGTGCCCGCTCGCGCGTAGGTTTTGGCTGGCCGGCGCTCCAGCGGGCTCCGGGCAGGTGGCTGGAGACGGGAGCGGCTTTGATCTCCACCTCCGGTGGTTTTCAAGTGCAGACTTCGCCGTGCAATAGAACCCGCATTTCATCAAGATTCTGTTTTCAGTGTATTTTAGAAAATCTACCTTCTGCCTCAGGTAATGTTTCTCTCTCCTGTGTGGTGTATTAAAAACACAGCAGCACTCCAACCTTTAATGGACTAAACTTAATCTTTCAGTTGCTTCTTGCCCTCAGAGAAAAGCAACGACACGTAGTGTGGACTCAGGGAAAGGTTCGAGGCAAAACTGTAAGGCACAGTTCAAGTCCCGGAACTATGTGGTTAGCCTGCCTCATTCACAAGTCAGCTTTCCGAACTTCTTCTTCTTCTTCTTTTTTTTTATGTTGGCAGATGGGACCTGCCAGCACACTGGATAAACCCTTCCATTCTGAAGGGGCTCTAAATTAGTTCATTCTACTTATTTCTTTGCTGAGAGCTGGGCACTCTGCTGGTACAGCCAGCTTAACCCAGGAGGAAAGTCTTCAGGCCTGCCAAATTGAGAAACAGGACCTCCACCGGTATTCCAGATCATTAACTTTTAAAATCATCAACTGCCCCTGCATAATTTGCCCCGCCCCCCACCGCCAGGTAAATATTATGCCAAACTAGGCTAATGGGACCTGACCTTCCCAAGGTGCCCAACATACATCCATTGAAGAAATAGAAGGTGGAAATTAGATGTAGTAATTAAGTAACTGGATTTGGTCACTTAAAATCACAGGATCTTGAAAATTGAAAAGGATTTTAGACAGCATTTATTCAAAACTTTGCCTTATAGCCCAGGAAGTTCAGATTGGCTAAACTCATACTGTTAAATGATGATGGAACCCAGGCCAGAGTTCAGGCCTTCTTCTTTCCATTGAGTTCAAAGCATATTGCAAACAGGCATTTTGAACAAAAAAATTGTGTGACTAGAATCACCTAGTCATATCAGTTTTCTGTTCTTATTTTTTATTTATCCCTTCTTTTTGAACTGGTGGGCTTCTGAAATAGATGAGAGAGGTTGATTTAGTCAAACCAACTCCGTAGTACAATTTTTAAAAATAGAAAACCTTAATTTAAAATAATACTTATATTCTTCTTATATGACGATGATATGCTGATATGTCCCAGGTAAAGTCCCAGAAGAAGAGAATTAATTAAAACAGATGGGCTAAATTTACCCCATGCTCTCCTTGGTCTGATTCTCAGCTCCCTGATGGTGATGATTGGTTAGTTAAAGATGTGGTTTGACTTTGGAGCCCACGTTAGAGAAGTGGTTTGTATGAAGACCATTTGTGTGTTGTGATTAACACCATGACTTGTAACACAGCTGAGAAAGGAATTTTAAACAACTTATTTAGCACCTCAGCATTGTATTGCACATTTTTTCATGTTTTTCAAATTTAGTTCAATTGAACAGATGTTTATTGAGTGCCTACAATGTGCCTAGAGCAGTTCTGGGTGTTTGGGAATATGTCAACTCAACGATCAAAACAAAGAACTTTGATCCTGTGGGGCTCAAGTTACAATCCATTCTTTAGAATTTTTCCATGATTTTGTTTGATAGATAGAAGATCATTTCAGTTTTGCTTAAAGTAGGGAGACAAACCAATGTTGCAAATTATCTTCCTTCCAATCCGATGATTCTGCTGATTTATAATCATTGAAAACAAAGAAGCAAATTTAGATAAAGTTACTTTGACTTTTATGAACTGACGTTCTACTGAACAAGAATACAAATTCCCACACTTGATTATTTTATGTATGTTCATTCAGAGTTCCTGAAATTACATTTCCTTTAGTTCAGGGACATCACTGGTGACATTAAACTTAATGAAGTGTGGGAGGATTCATTTTCTCAATGGTGTCAGCGCCCCCACATTAGTGTTGCAGAGTGTAATTGTATTGGTTTGTAAGATGTAGCTTCTCATTTATTTATGAAGATGGTGTTCTGCTTTTATTTGGTCTCACCTTACATGTTGTCCCTCACTCCCCTCCATATTAAGTGGTGCCTTATTGGTAAATCCGTTACCGCAGAAGTTTTTCTGCAGGTTTAAGCATTTCTAATTCTCTCCATTGCTGTTTCTTCAAAATGGCATGGTTTGCAAGCTCAGGCATGTTTATTGTTTTTAACAAAGGCTTATCAAAACGAACTTGGCAGTTTTTCAGTCATATACAGCCAAAAAAAAGTATTCAGTGAAGCTTTTGGGTTGTTTATGCATTCCTTACCTAATTGCTTTGCTTTTTAAAATTGCTTGTTTGGAAGCTATGCTTATGAGTACCTTTCTAGTATATTTAAAAACTCACCCATTAAAGTGGTATACTAATTTAACTGAGAAAAAACAAATCCACACTAGAAGACATAGGGAGATTTTTGAGGACAAAGATTGTCTCTCTGTTTTTAATTTGTTCTACATCAAAGGACATCAGAAAGTGTCATTATCTCAGTGTCTTATTAGAAAGTGATCTTGGTTAAACCCTGGGGGAGAGTCATATTTGTGATGTCTGCCAGGCACCCACAGTAGTTAATTTTCTTTATTTGTCCACCACCTTGCTCCATCAGGTCCTCATCCCCCCTTCTTTAAAAAAATTTTTTTTTCTTTATTGATTTTAGAGAGAAAGGAAGGGAGAGGGAGGGAGAGATAGAAACATCAAGGAGCGTGAACATTGATTGGCCGCCTCCTACATGCCCCCCACTGGGGAATCTCTCTCACAACTGGGCATGTGCCCAGACTGGGAATCAAACCAGGGACCTCTTGGTGCATGGGTTGATGCTCAAGCACTGAGCCACATCAGCCAGGCATCATCCCTCCACTTCTTTTACTGCATGCTGATGAATGAATTGCTGTAGCCTGGTAGAAAGTTACACACCATTAATTATTTACCTAACTAATGTGCTCATTCATTATTACCTAATAAATGTTTATTGAACTTCTTATTAGAGATTTGTATCACCTGGCCAGTGGGGCTCAGTGGATTGCGCATAGTTCCAGTGCACCGAGAGGTCATTGGCTCGAGGTGTGTGGGAGGCAGCCAGTCGACTCATTGATGTGATTGATGTTTCTATCTCCCTCTCCCTTTCTCCCTATCTAAAAATAAATTAAAACATAAAAAAAAAAAAAGATTTGCCCTGGTCAGTTTGGCTCAGCGGTTAGAGCGCCAGCCTGTGGACCAAAGAGTCCCACGTTTCATTCCAGCCAAGGGCACGTACCTTGGTTACAGTTTGTCCCCGGCCCTGGTTGGGGTCATGTGGGTAGCAACCAATTGATGTGTCTCTCTCACATTGATGTTTCTCTCTCTCTCCCACTCTGTTTGAAGATAAATATAAAAGAATCCTCGGATGAGGATTAAAAAATAAAAAATAAAAAAAGATTTGTGTAAAGATTGCGCGGTGAGCACCTCTTTTCCTGTGCTGGTGGCCATCGGGGATATCAGGGCACAGACCTGCCTTGGGGTGAATCAGCTAGCACCCTGGTATGGAAGAAAAGACATTTAGTGACCAGCTATAATGCCAGTTATAACCACGATGAGATGCACAAGTGCTTTGGAAATTAAAAGGAAGGAGAGAGCATGTGGGCACTGAGAGGGGTCAAGGCTTAGAAAAGACTTTCCAAAGGACACATCTGAGCTGCTCCTTGAAAGATGGGTAGAATGGCAAACCTTTTACAGAGGCAGAAGGGTACACCTGTCCTTATGGGAACACATCCCTGCTTCTTTTTGAAGACGTAGAAGACTTCCTTGTGGGGACCAGTTGAGGCTGTGTTGGGTTGTATGATAGACACTTATTACCTCTACACTGTACCCTTCTGTCCTGGGTAATGGAGTACTGACCAACACTAAAGCAACTCATTGGGTTAACCAACTCCTTTCCCTCTGAAACACATACTGGTTGCTGCTCAGAGCATAGACCACTATGGCAAATAACCAGCATCATAATAAACTGGTGTACTTTGCTTTTATTAGTTCAGGCTCACAGTGGCGTTGGTCATAGTCCTATTTATTCCAGTACCATTTGCTATTGTAATTTTGCAATTTAATAAAATACTGCATAAACTGATGTAATGTGAATGGCAAACAGAGAATGCTATTTCTATAAAAACTAAGTTGATGGCCATATAGGCTCATGAAAGTAAGCCATGTTAAAAAAACAATTTCAACACATGCTACAACATGGATAGAACTTGAAAACATTATGCTCAGTGAGACACAAAAGGCCACGTATTGTACGTTTCCATTTATATGAAATGTCCACAATAGGCAAATCTGTAGAGACAGAAAGTAGATTAGTGGCTGTCAGGGTCTGGGCCTGGGGACAGCTGAGAGTGACTGATAATGGGTACACGGTTTCTTTCTGGAGTGATGGCTATGTTCTAGAAATAGGTAGTTGTGATGGTTTCACATTGTTGTGAATGTTCTAAAAACCACTGACATTGTGCCCTTTAAAATCATTAAAATAGTGAATTTTATCTCAATCAAAAAAAGACTATAAAGCTAAAAAAAAAGCAACATTAAGAAACAAGGTATTACTACTTAGG